CCCCCCCCCCCAACCAGCCCTTTTTCCACGTGCCAGATGTGACTGAGATGTGTGATGACGTTTATGGATGGCCCCTAAATAAACCTAAATCGTTTGGAAATCTATGTATTTGTTATATTTCACCTTTTTTGTTTGTCTAGTGGCCTGGTCTCCAAGTTACATTCTTTACCCAGTAGTCTACAATTAAGTTTATGAATGTGCCGATCAAAGGCATACCGATATATTGATATATCTAAAACTGACAAACTGATTCATATTTGCCAAGTAAAACTGATTTTCGAACTTTCTACACAAGTCCTTCAGCGTAATTTATAAAACTGGACACAGGGAAACAATGTTGCGAATTTTTTATTTTTTTTTACGAGTCTAAAGACTGGGCGTATTCCTTGCCCATAAGGCAAGACATGTGTCGAGCTTTATCCCTTTATTTTCCTCTCTAACTGCAGGTTTGTGGCATGATGTTGAATTTTCTGCATAACATAAATACAAACCAATACAGTGATTTTATTTAAGGGTGTCACCATGGGCGCCCGCAGAAAAATTTCCAGGGGGGGGGGCAAAAAATTGATTAACTTTCCAGGGGGGGGGGCAAAAAAAATTAGTAATGTTTTTATATAGTTTTAATTTACTGTAGCGTATTTGTATGGTGAACGAACGGACAGGACATCAGCTTAGTTACTTTCTCTTTATTTTCTCTTTACTTAAATAAATTTTTTGTCTATTTTTGTCTAAAAAATTTTTATCCAATCAATCCAGGGGGGGGGGAGTGCCCCACCTTGCCACTGCCTGCGGGCGCCCATGGGTGTCACGTACATGTCGTAGTGTGCTTACTTAAAGTCTACGTTTGTTTTTAAAATTTCATGCTGACAAAAAGTCTTCCACCGGAAATAATAGAAACTACCTTAATCCATTGTGTTTCTTACCTCGATCTTCATCTGTGATCTTTAAAATCTTACTTTTAAAAATGTTTCTTAACAATGCCAACAAATATTGATCTTATTATTTATTGGTTTTTTAATTTATGTTTTTATATATGTTTCTTTGGTGTGGTATATCGGTATATCAAAATGCTTTCGGTAATTAGATGAAATGAAGTTACCTTTTTTTTTTCTTTCTTCCTTTTTGACTAACAAAAATGCTTTCAAATAAATTTTTAAGCTTTAGATTTTACTTTTAAAAATGATTGTTTAAAAAAATTACCTGTAGGGCTATGGTGGTAATTTAATTTTAAGTTTATGAACCTTCACCCAAAGATGATGCCGATCAATTTATTGTCTCGGAGTTTTATATATCATTTGTCTTGATATGGTAAATAGTAGATATTTTTTCAATGTGAACATACGGTTTTACTGAAAGTCGCACGAAAGTTACACTATGCCCTAACGTCCACTATAAGATTGTGAGCACACTTATGTTGATTGTAAACTTTTAAAACCATTATTTTTGTCGGAGTTTATATTAATTATGTATTTTAATATATGTAATTTAAACTAACATTTATTTAAATTTCTATTATACGTGCTAGTCAGAAGAGAAAGGGAAAATAAACTTAGAACTAGGAAAAGTCTAATTTTAAACTTAAATTTAAATCAATTGTGATTCAACTACTGGTCATTTAATAAAGTTAAGTTACCAAAGTCAACTCATTATTTAATTTATTTACTCAAGGTTACCACGTCTACACCACTCTACTCCAGCCTAGGCCTAGAGTTAGAGGTCTGGTGATCATGACTTTAAAATTTAAAAAAGAAAAGTTTGAGTGAATTATAATACATTATATTTATAAGATTCATTTACATTTAAGATTAAGTTCATAATTAAGAACACCATCCATCAAATAGTTAATTAATAGAACACTAGTCTTAGGCTAAATATTAATTAATTTATTTTGTGTAAAGGATTTAAATTTAACAAATAAATGGTTTGTTTTAAAATATTTTTAAAAATCAGTTTCAGTTAGGCCTATATTAATGTTACTACTAATATTTAGTAATATTAATTATTATTATTAGCCCAAGTAAGTATCTAGGGCTAAACAGTACATTCCTATTTGACTGTGAATAACTCCCCCATATGTACTATACTATTACTATGATACTTGAAGTGACAAAATGGATGGACATGGAAAACTTTTAATCCTTTCATACTGCTGGTTTTGGCTTGGATTTTTGCTGACTCGGCAATTAACAAACTTAATCATGGAACTTCCGGTATTACTTCATTCTCCATCTGATTAGCTTATAACTTCTCTATAGATTTACGAATAAAGAAATACATAGCATAGAAATATGATGTCAACGTTACGTCCTTGGTATATCAGAAAACTTCTTTGCATCTTTGTTATGAGAACAATGTGACGTCCTTGGTAATTGAAAGTGGGTGATCGTGACGTCGCGTTGACTTTATCGGTAACGAAAAGGTTAAAAAAGCTTAGAACTTTTATTTTGGCCTTTACATTAGCCTACTAATTAGTATTAAATTATATATAGGTCTAATTTTATTTCACATGAATTTTTTTTGTTTCTTCGATTGTCCTCAGATTGTCATTTTCGTGTAATTGATATGCCCTACTCGAACTTATGCATAAACATTTTTAAAAAGTTTGATTCAGCTTGTGAGGATTACAATGAGTGCAGCTTTACAAGACCCTGTGGTGCAACAGTTTGTAGCACGAGAGACACAAAAACAACGATTTCAAGGCCTGATTCATGAGATGACTGGCCGTTGTTGGGATACATGTATGGTAAATCCTGGTTCCAAAATTGACACTAAAACTGAAAATTGCATTCGTAACTGCGTCGATAGATTTTTGGACACATCCAACTTTGTTGTGAATAGATTAGAATCAACACCAATTCCAGAAACAACCCCGAAGAAATCAGGGTTTCTTTTTGGCTAGTAAAGAATTGAATACCACTGACTTTTTTTACACCCATATATATATATAAGATTGATAGAATTTAGTATTTACAAGAACTGTTAAAGTTAAAGGGAGACGGTAACTAAATCAGTGAGCAGTACCACCAACAAAGGAACATTTGCCAATAATAATGTCAAGCCTGTCAACATTCTCATCAAAATCTAATGCCAAACCTCCTCAGAAAGGGAGTTTCCCCTTAGATCATGATGGGGAGTGCAAAGATTTCATGATAAAATACATGCAGTGTTTGCGGCTCAACAAGAAGGAAGTTACCCTATGTAGGCAGCAGTCAAAAGATTACCTTAACTGTCGAATGGAGAAAAATCTTATGCTGAAAGAGGACTGGAAAAAACTTGGCTTTTCAGAAATGCAGAAAGATGAGAAAAGTTGAAAGTATTCACATTATTTAATAATAAATGACATGTATAGTTTAAAGGATTCTGAATAAACTATTGATATGCTAGATTTATGTTGAAATTTAATGCTATTAAAATTAAATCAAATAAAAACTTTGATTAATAGTAGCAAAATGAGTTTTTGTTCATCAAGCTGTCAACATTATATTTATATATCATTTAATTCAATTATTTTCGTTTTTATTTGGAAACAAAAAACATTAAAATAATAAGACCATTAAGAACAATTTTCCTGTGTTGCCAATTTGTTCAATAATATTTAGTAACAGTACCTGTAACAGTGCAGCTTTTACTATGGTATAAGATGAAGGCATTTAATTTTTAATAGTCTCAAACTCTGCATTAATTTTCTGAATGGAATGTCTGCAGTATAGTTGGGTCATGCACATAGTCTAATGAGATTAAAATTATTAAGGTACTACCCAGGTTTATAATTTGACTGTCAGGCCCAAATTTTGGGGCTCTAGACTCTCTACAAAATCCATTCAATGATTTACTTACCCGGTATGGTAGTTTGTGTGAACGATGAGAATAAATTAATTCAAATTAGATAAGAATAAAACCTGGCACTAGGCTAAAGTTGGGTTCGAAAGGGGCCATCCATAAAAAGACGTCCACCAATTTTTTTGCTATTTTTACCACTACCTCCCCTCCCCCCAATGCATTAGTTTGGTTCAAGTAAGTAGCATCCTTCTCATAAGGGGTCATCCATAAAAGACGTCCACCAATTTTTTTCTATTTTTTACCACACCCCCCCCCCCCAAGTTGTGGACGTCCAAAACATAAAATTTACCGAACTTAAATTAATAAATATTTTTGGAAAATGTACAACAATATAAAGAGTATTATTTACAGAGATTTTTTTTTTTAGAAATTCCAATTATTTGCAGGCAAAATTCTAAATGAAATAATAACTGTTCAAAAACATTTTATTGAATCACTGTATTAAAAAATGTAATATAAACAAATAATCCACCATTCTTCAATCAACGGAAAATTCGGACTGCAGCCACTCAAGCATGTTTCGTATAATGACAACATCTGTTCTTGAGTCTTCAATTGCTAATTCAATTTGAGTGGCAGTCTCTTCGTCTGCCATATTATGTTCACTAGCAGGAATATTGCAATGGACGACCTTATGTTTTTTCATTGCCACCTGTGATGGGAAATATTTACCGCAGAAACATATTCTCTTGGAAATTCTCCCAGCCACCAATGGACTATAGAGATCAAAAGGCATGCAAAACTGTTATTTGAGATTTTATTGTATTTGACAAATCAAACTTTAACAACATATTTTTAAAATAATAGTCAAGCGTATTAATTAGTAATATTGAAAAAATTGTTTCTAAATTTAACCACTCAGTTTGTGAAAGATTGTTTGGGTTTGCATCCCAACTCTTTTGTCATTAAACTAGAGGTTTTTTGGCAGTAAATTGATGCAAAACTGCTGCACTCAAAAAAACACAACAATGTGGACATCCACTTTGTCCTAAACTGACAAAGGGGGGGGAGGGGGTTTAGGACTTTAGTCCACTTTTTGCTGAACTCCCCCTCCTCCCTTTTGTGTGGACGTCTTTTATGGATGACCCCAAATTTAACTTTGATGGTAAGTCTGGCAGTGAACGCTGCCCACTGCCACAGGGAAAAATTGTTCAACTTAACTACAACTACAAGTGAAATGAAATAGGTGTGCCTTGAATTCAAACAATGTTCCAACAATTTTAAGTATACTTTAAATATGTTATGCTAGAGCAGCGGGTCGCCTAAGACCATCTGAAAACACGTATACTTAAGAGTTATGAAGTAGAAACGAAAATAATTATTGTGTGGCTGGGGGTCGCCATGACTTAAGGAACTCTATTAAAGGGTCGCGGCATTAGGAAGGTTGAGAACCACTGTGCTAGAGGGTTGGTAACCACCAAATTTTCCTGCAAATGGAAGGACTGCCGGTAGTTAAATTATAATTTTCTGTTCCTCGTAACAGTATTCTCTTTAAGCCAAGCTGCTACAGTACGGTATTCAGACAAGTACCAATTTTGTTTCTGTCAATGACACTATATTAATTTTAAAGCACGTATGTGTAAAGAGTATTGCAGTCATTCATTTGCCTCTGTTGAAACAATCTAAAAAATATGGTGAGTCATTGTACAATTGTAATAACACTTTGACTGAATACCATTTGGCCATTAGCATTTAAATTTCAGCCACAACTTGCATACTAGGTACTGAAAAGAAGATGCCAAAATAATGTTATTTATTGCTTATAATGTAAAATCAAATAAAGATACCGGTACATTGAATAATTAACATTTGGGCTTTACTTTCTAGACTTCCAATTTAAATAACGAACAATGAAGATTCATCGTTTTAAAATGTAAGTGTACGATTTGGTTTTTTTGCAGAAATTAAACGAGATTTCTAAATTTGTTAAGATTAATGAATTCATCTGCTGCTTGCTGTTAAATTTTCAAACAAATTGCCATCTTCTTTACAACCTGTCAGCAGGATCAGGTTTCTATTCTTGGAACCTACTTTATTGCTCATTGCCTGTTACTACTACTTATGTTCCTAAAATTTAAGCAGTACCGGTATCTTACAAATGTTAATTTTCATATACCGGTAAGGTAATTGTAAATGAGACGGGACAAACGCTTCAAATGAATCAAATTTTTTATATGGTATTCATCCAGCAAAAGTTCTCAGGAAAATATATGGGCCAACAAAGGATAAATATGGATGGAGAATACGAACCAACCATAAATTATACAGTCTATATCAGGATCTCACGATAGTAGCATAAATAAAAAGAGGCAGGCTACGCTGGGCAGGACACCTAGTGAGAATGCCAAATGACAGAGGAAACCAAGAGGGTGCATCACCAATACCCCAGAGGAAAAAGGTCAAAGGCAGACCTAGGCTTATGTGGATGGATGATGTGGAAAAAGATCTGAAAGTCCAAGCATGGAAATGGAAAAGAAAGGCATTAGTTAGGTCTGAGTGGAAGGAAGTGGTGAGGCAGGCCAAAGCCCTACAGGGGCTGTAGCGCCACAGGGATGGATGGATTCATCCAGCAAAGAAAGTAAATTCAAATTGTAAAAATAATTTTCAGTTACAGTGAACATGTGTACTTATATATTGCTGAAAATCAATTATTATAGAAATTAAACGAGGCTAAATCAAAATTGGAATTTAAAAAAAGACAAGGATTAAGTTTAAAATGATTATTTAAATACATTTGGACACAGTAGCACAGCCATTATATTACACTTTATATTATAAATTAAGAATAAGTAAATATGATACGGTACATAAACTTTAGTAGAAGCAGAAGATGGCACATGAAGAATAAAGTAATTCAGTTGTTTCTCTGTCCTAGCAAAAGCCTATCACAGATAACCTAAAGTTAACAATAAATAAAATCACAACCTTTTTTTCATCATCAGCTACATTCCTGCCACAGTTTACATTACATTACATAAAAAAAGTATTAGTAGTGTGCATAGTGGAAAAAAAATACCGGGGTATATATATTCTGTCCTTGGATAAATATTTTCACATGAATTTTACTTTGTATAGTAAAATGGTTGGTTTATTTTAAATCAACTCAAGAAAACAGAGAGCTATTTTCTATAATGGAGAAAAAAAGGTATTGCGTTGGACATTCATATAAAAAAATGTAATTATTATGGTACATTCTTACAGCATGCATTTGTAAGAAAATGTAATTTTCATTTAATTATGGCTTGTAAATTGTAACAGTTTTTTCATCATTTGAATGGTATTTATGAATTAACTCATTTTAGCATTAAATGTAATCACCATGTTCAATCAAGGAAATGCATGACAATTTAAAACTATTTCAAACCGGTACCGGTACTAAACGAATATTTAATATTCGTTAGTTGTTAAATAAATGAGTTATTTATAACCAAGCATTATTATTAATAAATTAATATAACAATCATAAAAAAATTCTATTACAAACATTTTACTTAGATTCATAGAGTAGAAATAAAAAACGTAAAGATAAAGAATAGATTTGCTTCAGAAGGTTTATCATTTCTTCAATATGTGTTAGTATTATTATTAATGAAAGAACTTGCTAAGGTGGTTTATAAAACACAGGTAAAAAATAACATGGTAAAAATACATAAATTATAAATAAAAATTTATTGGCTTTTATTTACCTGGCATATTTTTATTATGTTACATTCATTAAAATATCATGCTATTATTTCATCAAAATTGAAGATGTTGCTATTTTTATTCATAACCAAGATTATTAACTTTTTTGAGGTGGTAAAATAAGTAATAAATTAAACTATGCATAAAATATACATAAAATATTGGAAATATTTTTGTTAAATTATTCTAATTTACCCACATCCCTTTTGCAACTTATGGCACATAATTAAGCATTTGGTTTGATTTCTAATCATTTCATTTTTTAACAAATTTCTGGTATTCATCATGGGTAATAAACTTAAATAGCTTTGTTACATTGGTTTTCACATTAAACTGCTTAATTTTGGTTTGCAGCATGCCATCAGATTGTGGTACCGGTACACAGTTAAGTTTCAATAGGCATGGATGGGGTTTTTAAGCTGTAAAACAAATATTCACAAAACTTTTTAATAGACTTATTATCAAACACGAGTTTGAACACTTTAAATAGTAGAAAATAAATTTCTTAAAATGCTTTATCGTATACAAAGAAAGATTGCATAAGTGTATATTAATTAGCACTTTAATATACTATATGTACTAATGCACCAGTGACCATTATTAGTAAAAGATTCAAATCGAATGTGACATAACTTACATATTGTTAATTATGTTTTTATTTTTATTAATTTTTAAAAATATATTCTGCACCAACTTTCTTTGCGTAATGACCTTGAAATTTTGATATCAAGTCTCTTTTTTTTAAAGTTTTTTAAAAATATTTTTTATTTACTGCTACTAATTTTTAGTACGGTACCGGTATTAAAATTGTAATCTTTAAAATATCTAAAAAGTAGAATTAATTAATTTTTTTAATTTGATGGCTAACAAAATCCCGGTTGAAGTGACGTCACTAATTATTTTAATTATTTAACTTAACTTAATCATGAAATTAAAAAAAGGAGATCTGAACTCATCAACCCTCCCGTTCACTCAACCTTGAAGCAGATGGGGTACAACAATAATAATTTGAGTCACAGTGTCATTTAAAAAAAAAAAATATTTGTATTACTTTGCTTGGACAATCCTTTGGGTTTTTTTTATTGATAAAAATCAATATTTACTCTGTAAACTAGAAGTAAAAACCAACAACATAGTAAAACAAAGGTTCACTATTGTGTTGCAAGTTATAATACATAGAGAATAAAAATAGATCTTAGTAGTTTCAAATAGAGTAAATATAATTCCTCTTACAATTGACAATTATAATAATAATTCACAATATTTCTTATAACTTGTATTTGTTTGGTATTTCACTCCCACATTTATTTTTTTATCAGTTTCACATTTACTGTGTTGAAAGATAAAGTTGGAAAAACTGCTGTTGTCAAGAATAAAAATACACAACAAAAATATCAGTAATCTAATAGATTATAAAACACTGACAAGATTTCTAATGTGGATTATATATAAATCTTTCAACATCAATAAACAACACTCAGTTATGGGTGATAATATGATGTTCAGATAACTGCCAATAAATTAAAGGTCAGATTTAGATTTTTTTGGGCGTTCTCCCATCATGACTAAATCAATTTTTTGTGACACTCTCTTACAACCTGTGCTGGAAAACAACTGTTCCACTTCTGGGACAAATGTCAATTCTTTCATCACCTGGTCCACTTTTTCATCAGGAACAGTTTCTATGTTAGCATAATAGCCTTCAATGACCATGGCATCTTGGATACATTTACGGACATGTTCCTTAGCCAGTGGCAGAAATGGAATAAAAGCGGTTATAAGATGGTTGTTAATGAGCTGACTGTACCCAAGACCCTCTGGTGAATTGTAGAGACAGAAGAATATTCATTGTTAATAGTTTATTTATACCGTAAGTCATAAGTTCATAAATTTAATGAAAATTAATTTTTATTTAAAATTTGTAGTTATTTTAATTTTAACGATAAATATGAGATGCTTAGGTAAAAGACATATTAATTAAGAATGGAATGGTCATGATAAACAATAAATATGAGATATCAATTAAGATGGTACTGTCACAATTTTTCCTGCGAGAAGCTCAAATAATTAGCATCAATATCTCCACAATCTTAAGCTGTGATATTTCAAAACAATAATATAATATATTATTATTGATAGATTATTGTCTTGAAATACCTCAGCTTAAGATTGTTGAGATATTGAATATCATTGATTATCATGCATAGCAGTTTGGGCTTTATCAAGATTTATTTCTATGCCGAATGGTTTAGTATAAATTTATAGAAAATGTGAAGTAAAAGCAAATAGGATAGTTAAATGGTACCATAAAAACAGATAATCAGAACTTCAAATTCTTTATTGCTGATAATAACTAAAAATCATTAGAAACTGGCCAACAGGTCATGAGTCATGTATTTTTTTTTTAAGTTCGCATCTAAATACTAAATAATTAATAGTAGCAGTAGCAGTTTTTTTTTTGTTTTTTTATCTAAAAATGCACCAGAACATCCATTTTATTCAGATTTTATACCGTAACTGAAACTAAATTTTAAAAAATTAAAAATGTGAGTTCTTGCCCTTTTCCAGCACCTTTTATTTTCACAAAAACAAGATTGAATATGAGTTTTGTGAAACTTATTATTGAATACCTCTAAAGCATGCATTCACTCCTTTTTCACATTTAGTTTAATAGTAATAGTCATAAACATAGATCTGTTTAACAGATGTTTAAAAGCAATCTTTGTTACTGTTACTGTTAGACATGTATAATTAGTATGAATACCCGGTAATTTACTTTTCAAAATATTTTTAAAGGGGTTTATTTTCTAAATAATTGAAATGCACTTATAAATGAAAGGTGCTTAATTTCCATAATGTATGGAAAAGCTTTCACTGAATAATTGATTCTTAGCCTGGTAGACTCATTGAGCAAGTAACTGAATTAGGATCCATTTTTAAAGCCATCATTTTATTTTGGATTATTTATTTTACCACCCTCCCCCATCAAAAGAAATTTGTCACAAAATTTAGACACCCATCACAAATTCATTAGGTCCACTCCCTCAAAGTTTTGCATTTATGGATGGCCCCTTCGTCCATTTTATTATTTACCTGTATTTATTCATTATGTGTATATTTTCCTGCATAACTTTTCTAAAGTATATTGTATTGTGGTCAGCAGATGGAAACTCTTCAACTTTTTCTGACATATGGATTTTTCCGCACATATTTTCCAATATTATGATAGAAAGCCATGTGTATATTGTTGTACTGTGAACTTACTATGTTTGTCATTAACAGCTGCCTTCATGACAAAGTTTTCGACATCTGCTAACTCCAGTGTTTCTCTTGTTTTTCCATCTTTCCAGTGTTCAAACATGATTTTACCAATGTCACTGCCACCAGAGTTACTGTCAAGAAGTTACAAAAACGAATGCTCAAATTTAATGAATGCAATAAATTCTAAAGACTAAGCAATAAACAGTTACACATTTTGTGATATTATTGGAAATTAGAATAAGAAAATAGTAAGGAAGTAGATCAATGATAATTGAAACTTCCATGATGGGTGATAATTAAAATTACTGGTATTATAGAATTATTCATCCAAAAAATTTACCTAAGAAACAAGAAAATAGATTTCCGGTAGTTGACACCTTTATAATGCACATGGTATTCCAGGTAAGGTTTTATAACATCTAGCAACAATGGAGGTAGTTTGTCTACTTCATCAAATATGAACATGGAGCGTTCACAATGTGACACATGGCCTTCAATCCATGATTTCAACTGATCCTAGATTAGAATAACCAGTGGCAAGTGACACTAGTTAATGGCCTATTTCTTAACTCAAAATGAAGTAATAAACACATTTTTATATTCTTAATGTATTAAGTTAATTAAGTGTAGAGTTCACTGATTTACAAGAGCCTGCTTTTGGGCTCTCTATTCCTTAATATCTATATATACAAAAAAAAAAATTCTCAAATACATATACAGTTTTATCTTAATGCAAATAATTACCCTTCTTTCTGGCTATAGGGTTTGTCATTTCTAAGACCGGAAACGTCACATCACATTGTTACTATTTTTAGACAAGGTTTTCGGAAAACATAGCTTCTAAACAATGTATTTCAGCATACATAAAGCAGTAAAAATTTGTAAAATCTTAAGTAAAATAAAGTTTTAAAATATTTTTCTCTGGGTTAAGACCCACTACCCTGAATCACATTAACACAGAACAACCGAACTGAGACATATCCCAATGTTTTATCCAGATGTTTAATTATCTCTCCCCAATTTAATGAGATTGCACAAACTGAATGCCTGGATGTTTTATTAATAGCTTTCCACCATTAAATGACAAACCCTACTGTAAGTTTTTATTTCAGATTACTTTGGTCATTGCTAGTGTTTGATAATATGCAGAAAATAAAACACAATTTTTTTAAAAACTATTTACATTTTCAAAAAGTATAGTTTTATAAGTGTCTTCTGTTTTAAAATTGTACTTATTTTTATGATAATAATCATGAATACAGTTTTATTCTTTGGATACAGAATTTTAAATTATAAGAAACTTTAGAACTCTATATTTCTTATATGTAGTAAAAATTGTGCAAGGTTAACAAAAAGCCACTTACCATATAAAGGGGAATCATATCACTATGAGGGAATTCATTTGTTGCAGAGATAAGATGAACAAACTTGCTTTGAAGACCATCCTTGTATAAATTTTCGGCAATGATACGGCTGACAAAATTTTTGCCCACACCAGGAGGTCCATGAAAGGAAAGAACAAGGGCTTTAAGCGGGTTAGGTGACCCTAGGTGACCTTTGATGTGACCAATGACAGTCTTGTGAACAAGGTGTTGACCATGAAGTTTTTTTTCAATATCAGCTACTAAGCCTTCAAAGAAAATGATTTTGATATTTTAGTATTGAAGTATTTTAAATATTGAAGATTATAAAATTATTAATCAGTCTGAGATAAAGCAACCATTTCACCTTTCTTTAAGCAATGAGAATTGATTTATTAGTTTGAAAACTTTCACAAGAAATATTTCTTTGAAAAAGTCATACTAAAATGGCCTGGATTAACCCATGGGCTCAGAGATCTGCTTACATAATCATTTAATCATGTAAAAATTTTACAAAACTTCCTTAGTTAAAACATGGGCTAATATAAGATTGCGTTATTACATTAACAAAACTGTTATGATTATAAAAGATTATGTCTGAAGTTGTTATACTGGTACCTGTTGTGTTATTGTTGATCCAAAAATCATCACAGCATGTGGTAAATTGGCATCCAATAGTGTCAAAGATATTAAAAATAGCTGATTTTAATGATTGTATAATATAACAGTTACCAGGAATTGTATACATAAGTACCAAGACTGCATATGCTGATGTCTTCATTCTTTGGGTATTGCTTTGTTATGTTAAAAATACTAAAGACTTAACACTAGATAAATACTTATCCTCAATGATGAAATTGGTCTATTTTTAATTTAAAATAAAGTGATTAGCACATTTAGGTTTATATTCTAAATGAATCAAGTGTAGAGTTCACTGATTTGTAAGACTAAAAAAAAGTAATATTAAAATCCTTTTTGGCTATCTTTTCCTTCTTATCTATAAGTCCATAAAATAATATTGTGTCCTCATGACTTCCCTGGGAAAACAAAAAGAAAAGAAGTACAGCTTATCTAAAGAAATGATGTTTGCATAGAAGGTGTGCCTAGTGATAAGACATAAATTTTCCTCTAGAAAATATCTTTGATTCAGTGATTTTCTTTCTACAGTTTTTTTCTGCAATCATAAATTTCTAGGTATATGACATAAATAATTGACCTGCATGCTTTGTAAAGATAAGCATGCAATTATTCATGTACTTTTTACATGGATAAATGTAAAATATTCATTACACTTCTCCTCTGTTACTAAGATTTTTGGTCACTTCAATGCTTGGATTTTCTTTTTTAAAATAAAAAATATTTACTATAGAATTGATTAAAAAACACAAATCATCCTTGTAGTACAATCTTCAGTCAATCAGTTACTCAGTTCAGTTGAAATTTGTTTTTGTTTTGAATAAAGAAAATAATTTTATAAAATCATAAACCTGGTTTCTCATTTTTTGAGGATAACTGCGTTATTATGTGGTGAGCCTAGGGTTGCCATCCATCCTGATATATCGGGACCATCACCGTTATGGACCTTCTTGTCCCGACAAGACCTAATTTTGTCACGATTTTGCAAAATACTGTTACGGGTTTGGCTCAAGTACTGATGTAACGCCATCTGTTAGCGCAACATGTAAATGCAAACTCAGTTAGTTTTATTTATGTCAACAAGTTTATGTTGACAAGGTCGTCTCACAGATGGTGTTGAATGTTGCGTATCCTGTATCCACAATGCAAGCACCTTCTAGATATAGCGCCATCATTCGAGAAAATACCAGACTTCTCCAGTAGTACGGGCCTGGAACTATTTAAGCAGCGCCACGCTGAAGAATCAGGCAGTTCCCATCTGAATAGGGATCTGATAAATAGATTCTTTCTAAACGTATTACGAACAACGAGCGCAAGTTAGTAATGTTTGAAGTGTTTACTGCTGGTATATAAAGCGTGAAGTGTATAGTGACGTGTACTTCGATGACTTAGTATTGTTCGTCAGTCGAAGATCGACGATGACCACAGAATCGTCCGGTGACTGATGACTTGCGCAGGTGACTTTTGTTTAAAGTGAGGAAGAGTTGCGCGGCGTTAACCTCACTCTCTCTTCCAGCCCACATATCCAGTGGCAAGAATCTATGTTAAGATGATCAGGGATGGATAGGGTTGCAGGAATTTTCATTGGATGCGCCTTACAGGACTACAACTCCAGGTTTGAATTCAGCATTTCCTTCTCTTACTTAGATGAATTGCCGACCAAGGTTAACGAGTCTCATCCACCCTGGGTGATGTTTTTTGCTATACTGGCCTTTGGCTGAGTTGAACTTCAGACCACCAACTTGAGGTTTGCTCAGGTTAGACCATTCAGCCATCCAGTCAACCATGATTTCGATGACTAAAGTGTTATTTTCGACTGTTTAATGTCTAATAAACTTAACTTATCATAACTTACGATATGCCATGGAAAGAGAAAGTGTCACTTTTTGGATGATTACACAAAAGAGAGGTCTTTTGTCAAGTACGGATCAGGAAGTATTGTGTGATATTTGTAGCTGTTTCATCTCAGTAACTAACGGAGGTAAGGCAGATGTGAGGCATCATATTTCTATGAAGAATCATACAAATAGATGCAAGGTAGAAAGTTCTCTTGATTGTACCGTAAAACTGAATGCCGCAATGTATCCTGACTCCAAAGTCACGGCCAAGCAGTCTAGAGCCAGGACCAAAGCTGCAGCGATTGTTAAAAATATTCTGGCACCACATTCCGTGTCCGAATGCATTAAACAATTGCAGGAAGTTTCATTTTACGACATGGGCACCGACGCATCGAACCACAAGGCTGAAAAGATGTTTCCTTTAGTTGATCAATACTTTACTGAAACTGATGGAATCCAACAGAAGCTGTTGAAGTTTGATTTGCTGAATAATGAAACATCGGAGACAATTGCAAAGTTTTTTCTGGACACTTTAAGACAACCACAAATTCCATTAGATAAATTAATCGCTTTTTGTGGAGGGCTTCATCGACGCAGCCATCGGAATGTCTTTCACCAAATTAAAGAAGAAATAGGAAAAAATGTAGAAGAAATTGGATGCCTTGCCCATATTCTCCACAATACAATATCAAGCGCTGCTGGAGTCTTAGCTGTCGACATTTAAATAATCGTCATGAAAATATTTAATTATTTTCAATACCGGTATGGACAGAGAAGTTGAAAGAGTTCTGCTTTTATGTTGATGTCAATCATCAGACACTTCTATCTCACTCAAAAACAGTTGAGAGAATTCTTAAACTTTGGATTCCTTTAAAACAATATTTTGACGCTAAAGACAGGCCACCTAAAATAATTTCAGATTTTTTCAGTAGTCAGATCAATGAAATTTATTTTATGTTTCTTCAGTCCAACTTGGCTCTGTTTTTTAAAAAATATAAAGCATCGAGAAGTATAAAGTCTCGATGATTGAAATAAGAAATATTCTAATCGCCACTCAAAAATGTCTGAATGATTGAAAGGAAGACTGCCAATTTTATTGGCATGATTGATGATGATGCAAACCAAGATGAATTTGAAAAAGTTAACGAATGAGAACCCTAACCAAGAAATAATTAATTTGATTTCGAAATTTGAGGAAGAGACAATGGCTTTCTATACCACGGCATTTGATTACTTAGAGAAATGGGCTATTTCTTTTAATAAATATCAATCAAGTATTTGATTGGATGAAGTTATCTGAAACTGAAGTCACTGAGAGCCCAGATTGGGTGATGATTGATAACACTATTAATAATATTACCTAATATTATTAAGTATACCTGAATAAAATTGGTGTGAAGATTTCAGGCAATCATTGTTTTCTGCAATATATGTATCTGAAAAGCTTTTTAGAAACTAAGCCTAACTTGGAAGAATGGAAGTCTAAGCAACTGCGAAAATTATGGCATGCATTTGTTTTCGATCCCTTGTTAAATACAGAGTAGCTTGCCCGTGGTTGCCGCCTACTTTTACCAAGTTGGTTGGTTCCAAAGTCATGTTTGTTGTTTCTAAACTCAATTTCAGTAATTACTTGAAAAAGACCCAAGTAATATCGTTTTTAAAATAAATTTATACTTTAATTCTGAATAATGTCTTTCCTCTCAATTCACGGTTACGTCATCCGATCCATGTTTACTTAGCCAAACCACGACAACCACAAAGCCACAATTGGCTGAGGCTATTCGGACCCTAGCCCTAGTATCAGAAGTAAGAGTGAGAGAGAGGTTGGGTTTATTAAACAACATTTTAAAATAGTATTGAAGGGTTTTTATGACAAAATTTGATATCAAATGAAAGATAATTTAATGGACTTTATGTATGTAACTTACTTCTTCAGTTTAACTAAAATAAACTATCACTAAATGACATTCGAATACCGTGAATATGCGCTCAAGGTGGGCGATGTAGCACTAAAGTGGGACAAACAACCGGTCTACTTGGGAGTTAAGCTGGACCAAAAGGTACAAATGCACAATTTTGTACAGGACCTCTGCTCCCAGGCGACCGCCAAGCTTAACCTGGTGAAAAAATTGGCTTGCACAAGTTGGGGCGCGAACGCAAGTACGCTTAGAGCTCTCTTTCTAAGCAGTGTAAGGTCGGTGATGGACTACAGTATGCCGGTCCAATCCTTTGCAAGCAAGACCGCATTGGAAAAACTGGGCCGAATCCAGAATCAGGCACTGAGATTCATCTGTGGCGCATACAGGACTACTCCCACAGCTGCTGTAGAAGTCTTGGCCAATGTAGAACCGCTACAAATTAGGAGGGAAAAATCCATCTTAAATACCGTAGAGAGGTACCGACGGCTCGGTGAAAATGAACCAGCCTTTCAAATGCAAAATAACTGGGTGGGTGGCAGGAGACTAAAGAGGTCCTCTTTCATGCACCAGGTCGTGGAGCTGGAGAGGACAGTCCCCCTGCCCCCAAATAGAGAACGACTGACCCAAATCCCAGTTAATCCGCCTTATGCGGAACCCTCACGCCCCTCCATACATTTGGCCTTGACAGATGCAGCAGTGACGAAACGAAGCCCTGAACATGTACAGAGAGCGGCTGCCCTTGAGACCATGGATGTGTTCACGCACATACCTGTGAAAGTGTTCACGGACGGCTCTGCTGATTTTAGGAAAAAAACTGCTGGGTACGGTGCGCTTATTCAATACCCAGTAGGTGGACCGCCCGATGAAAAACTTTCCGGGCCTTGTGGGACTACAGCGTCAAACTTCGACGCGGAGCTTATAGCTATGCACAAGGCCTTGGAGAGAGTCCGTGTCACTCTGGAAGGGACGGAGCATGCGGGGCTCGATATTGTCGTCTTCTCAGACTCAAGATCCGCTCTTGAGATCTTGGAGAAGAGACAGGGTACCACAAGCTTGGTCGACGTCATTCACAACGACATATGCAGACTTGATGAAATAGGGTGCAAGGTAGAAATGCAATGGATACCAGGGCATGTCAACATCAGTGGCAATGAGATAGCTGACACTCTGGCGAAAACCGGGGCAGCCCAGCCTCAGCCAGAAGTACCAATGACTTTCTTGGGAGTCAAAAACTGGCTGGCGGACCACTTCAGGCAGAAGTGGTACAGGCAATGGGCTGACAACACGACCGCCAGAGGCGTCTATTCGAACTTGCCTACTCCTAGCAAACAAGACCCATGGTGGGGGTTAGGTCGTAGAGTGCAGAGTTTAGTAACGCAGATGCGCACCGAGCACTGCCCCCTGCGCACATATTTCTGGAGGTTGGACAACAACAGAGATCCTACCTGCCGGCACTGCAGCCTGGCCCCAGAGACCTTAGAACATCTGTTGACGGAGTGTCCCGCACTAGATCTCCCGGGGGAAGCCAGGGCGGTTGGAGGATCCTTTGTGAGGGACATGTTGTATGGCTCAGCTCAACAGATGGAGTTGATAGCCAATTTACTAGCCGGGGTCATAAGAGAGTAATCTCAGACCTTCACCAGAATATGTGCGTTAGTTAGTAAATTTAGTCCAAAGGAACCCGGGTCCGAATAGCGGCTATAGACGGTATATTTGAGGGGTGGGGTCTAACTTTGTAATTTTGTGACGATGGGGGTTGAAAATCGTCAAAATTTTCGTGGAGTCATTTCAGGATAGTCTGTATTTCCAAATTCTTTTGCTCAATGCATACTAATACTAGCAAAATCCCTTGATCGGGTGAAATAATATTGAGACCCTTAGCCTTTTAACTTTTAAAAGATTCCCGTGGTTGTTGTTTTTTTTAAAATTGTCCCACTTTAATCATTTTTTAATTTATTGAAAATCAGTTAAATGATATATATTCCTAGAAACTTTTCATGTAGCCCACCAAAAAAACAGCATCTCCATTGATTGGATAACAAATTTTTAGACAAAAAATTTCTTAAACTTAAAGTAAAGAGAAAATAAAGAGAAAGTAACTAAGCTGATGTCCTGTCTGTTCGTTCACCATACAAATACGCTACCGTCAATTAAAACTACATTAAAACATTACTAAAAAATTTTTGCCCCCCCCCTAGAAGTTAATTGATTTTTTTGCCCCCCCCCCCCTAGAAAGTTTTCTGCGGGCGCCCAAGGGCCCTCCGCTATAATTAATATGGTTTGAAGAAAAAGATTCCAAAAAATCTCCCAACCCCCCCCCCCCCCNCCCGTTCATCGTGGATTAGAATGGCGTGCAATAACCTAGCGCTATAAAATAAGCCCATCCCTCATAGTCATAAGACAAAGAGACACATTCATATAGAATAGAGACATACTAAGAAAAAGAGTCAATGATTTTGACATTATGACTTACAAAGGCGTAGAAACATAGCTGTAGGCTTCATATGGATATTTAACATTTTTTTAGCTTCCGAGTTTCAAGTTTATTTTAAATGAATTTGTAAAAAAAAATTTAAAAATTGTGTCCGTAAACTCTACTTATCGTGTTGCCAACCCTGATTGTGAAGATAATAGAGCTTTGCCTTCATATTACTGCAACCTTGTAGTCTAAGATTGTGGCCATTTTAATTCTAGCTTTTTTCCCAATTTAGACAGACATATGTTTTGAAATAGTCCAGTTGATGATGCATCAGACTTTGAAAGATTAATTTATCATGTCAGATCTAACCTGTGCATCATGTTGGTTGTGCAAGACTGAAGGGAACTGGTTCAACTGACATTAAGGACACTGAATTTGTTTTAAAAAATTTTTGGCATCCGTCCGTCACAATGTGACGATGGTGTAGACTTCGCAGAACGAAATCACAATGCCTTGGTGGATAATGGGAATTGGTTCCTTCAGGAGAGTAAGCTTATTTCCTAGACAGCATTTTGCTTTTCTCCACGCAAGAGGAGGACCTAAGGGAACATCATATGAGGATGATATAGCTGGGCACCATTAGTGTCACAAGAGTTGCCGGAATATGGATTGTGCCAATGTTATCCTCCTACGGGACTTCATCTCTGGGTTTGAATTCAGAGTGTGCTTTCTCTTAGATGAGTTGCCGTCCATGAGTCCCATGCACCTGGGGATGACACTGAAATAGTAATCCATTATTGAACAAAACAGATTTCCAAGTCTACTTGTACTTCACACATTAAATTACTTTCATTCATTGCCAACATTGCTTCCTTTACTTTATTGCTAGGTTATATTTAGCAATCAGAGATTCCCATTTAATTAAATAAAAGTTTAAAATGGAACACAGAATGAATAAAAAAATACATATTGGCTTTACTTTTTATTGTTTCAATTTACCTTAGAACTCTTGAAGATCCATCATTATAGTATGACAATTTTTGTAGGAAATAAAATTTTAAAAAAGAAATTAGGAGATTAATTTAAATGAATGGATTCGGCTGCTGCCTGCCATCATGTGGTGTGTTAGCCACGCTAATTACTAATAAGCCTAACTGCTGCCTACCATCATGTAGTGTATTAGCCAGGCTAATTACTAATAAGCCTAACTGCTGCCTACCATCATGTGATGTATTAGCCAGGCTAATTACTAATAAGCCTAACTGCTGCCTACCAATCATGTGGTGTATTAGCCAGGCTAATTACTAATAAGCCTAACTGCTGCCTACCATCATGTGGTGTATTAGCCAGGCTAATTACTAATAAGCCTAACTGCTGCCTACCATCATGTGGTGTGTTAGCCAGGCCAATAAGCTGTCAAACAAATACAATCAGAGTAATATGGCCCTTTAAGTGTTTATATATATATATATATCATGATTACTACACTAAGACTATCTTGTCCTAAAATAAAGATTTTTTTTTAAAAATCTGTTTCAAGCATCTCATTTAAACAAAAAAAGGGCAGTGTAGAATGATTTCATATTGGGTCCTATCAAATTACTGATTCAGTAAAGTGAATTCCATATTGAAAAATATTTCATAACAATTTTTGTGCACATATCTATTTTATATGGCTGAAATCATATTTTAACTTTTGGCAAAAGTGACTGAGAGGGGAGGGGATTGATTTTGGAAATTTAGCATACAGGTGCTTATGGTGGAAAAGTATGTCATGGGTGGGCTCATATAAATTTTTGTACAAAATGTGCAATAACTATCTTGAAATTCTGACTGTATCTTATAAAAAAAATGACAGCAAAATCGATCACTAATTATTTTAAAAATGATGAAAAAAAATCACGACGTTTTAATTTATTAAGAGATTGGGTGGGGGTGGGGGTGAAAGCTTATTGTACACATGAATGGTGGGGGTGCCCAAAAAGGTATGGGTTGCAACTGAAGGGAGGTGTGGGGGTGTCTAAAATTTTTATTTTTTGCCTTTTTTTATATATAAAATTGTGGATGGCCCCTTTATCTATATTTTATATGTTCAGTATGTATTATGATTCCTTCACATAAATTGATCTTTTATTCATTTGCAAAGGGTAAGGCACATGTTAAACTAGTTCATTGGTTCCATAAGTAAACAAAATAAAAAACAATATTTGTGTTAATAGAAATGTCCTCTTATTTTTAAATGATGTCATTTAACTTATGATTATATTATATCAATACAGAAAAATAAATGTAAGAGAAACATTCACAATGTTTCCAATTGTATACAATTGTCAACATGATAAAGTTTACATAAAGTAGACACAAAATTTAAAATGGCACATGAAGAATAAACTTATTTACTATTTCCCAGCATTCCATCCAACAATTACACAGATAAACTGAAGCTAACAATAGATCACATTGGCCCATTCCCATATTTCTCTACTTTCTGAAACTCCATAGGTTGAATTAACATACAAATTTGCTAGCAGTAGCATACATCACAAAGTAAACAAGACAACAGATCCTGTTATTATATTTGAGATTACTATTATTACAGAGAAAATCAGAAGTCTTTTATTATTCTGATTCTATTTAACTGCAGTTTTACTTTTGTAATTTTGTATGTTACGATAATGGTTTGTTAACATTCATGTTTAATAATTAAAGATTTAATATTTACACATGCCTTTTTTGTCTACAGTGACGCAAAGGGAAAAGAAATTGGATTGGAGATTCATTTAAAACTCAAACATTTCATAACACTCTTTAATTTCTAAGAGCAAAAAAATATGAAAATAAACATAATTTTCACTATCTTTATAACAATTTTTGGCAGTGGCATTAATTTATGTTTTCTTTCATTTTTTTTTTTTCACATTGGCTGAAATTGTATTGGCATATCAATAAATTAATATTCAAACATATTCTCTGTAATTATTAATTATGTACAACACTAGTGTATTATTTAAGCTTTTAAATAATTGAGTTATTTGTATAGCCTAATTAGTACAACAATTTAATTTTCACTGAAAAACATTACAATTATAAGTATTTAAATGAGATGGCTGGTGGAAATAAAAATACAGGCAGTTACACAACTAAATATACAAGAAAAGAAATTAAAATCCTTTCGCTATCATCTTAAGTAAGCAGCTGCAAAATAGCTCCTTATGTTTGTATAGAGCAGCAATAGAAGGTTTGGCACTTCTTCAGCAAGTGGATCTTGATGAGGTGTATATGTTATCAGGGTGAATTATAAAACAGCAGTATAATTTACAGGGAAACATTATTGGCCACCTTAAATACATAGAACATTGTATGTAACATTAATTTATGAGAACATAATACATGCATACATATATTATATGTAATGTAATCATAATATAGTACATTATCTAGTCATGAACATAAAAAGACTTGAACATTTTAGAAGAATTGAATAACTTTCAAAAAGAAGTAGAAATTCTTTAATTTTTGAAAAAATATTAATTTACTGTAATTTTTTTTTAAGATGAAAGGGAAACTATATTCCATTGTTTTCTTCACCTTTGAAGTGTTCAGGTAATAATGTTTTGTTGGTTACAAAATTCATATATCAAGTTAATATTAGCAGCTGTTATATTTAACATAACAGGCAAGCTAAAAGAACAAATGTATCAGTCTGTGACAGAAAAATACCAATGTGCCATTGCTGCATGTATGGAACAGGCAAGTGAGATGAACTCTATCCTTGAAAGCTCATGAAACTTGAGTCAATATGATGTGTTAAAAAAGAAAGATTTATAAAGATTTCAAACACATGAAGCTTATCAAGAAATCATACACTCAACCATGGCAAAATATGTTTCCCACAAAATTAAAGCTTTCCGTTAATGTGCACATGTTTTCCAGTCTCTCTACACAAAAATAGGTCATGGTCATTTGGAAGATGAAAAGAAAAAAAAAACACTTTAACTTTAAAGATGAGTTTGAACATTAACTTGACAAGTTCTAAATGACGATTTTTTTGTCTTCTTGATACCACAATTCAAACAATGTTTCAACTCTCAGTAACATTTGTCTGCCCTGGCGCCCCCTACATTCCACAAACTGTTTAGTTATTCAGATGTTAAGATACAGACTTCAACTTCATCACAAAATTCCCAGATGAAAGCTGATAAAACACATCTTTCTAAATTTATTTCACATCGACACGCACCACTACAAGAATACTTCACCGCTGGATGACATGCAGGTAACGGACAATGATCTAAAGCTCTAAATGGCTGAGGCTGCCTCCCATCATGACATAATCAATTTTTTCTGACACTCTCTTACAACCTGTGCTGGAAAACACCTGCTCCGCTTCTGGGATAAATGTCAGTTGTTTGATCACCTGGTCTACTTTGGTGTCAGGAACGGCGCTGACGTCAATATAATACCGCTTGGTGACCATGGCATCTCGGATACATTTACGGACGTGTTCCTTCGCCAGGGGTAGAAATGGAATATAAGCAGTTATAAGATGGTTGCTAATCAGCTGACTGTGCCAGAGGCCATCTGGTAAATATTAAAGAAAGAATAAGAAAATCATGTTTTAGGACATTTATTATAATTTGTGTTAATTGAATTATCAGGTTTTTAGAGATTTTTCAATTAACAAGCAACAATATGCTGCGATATTACCTCATACTGTTCAGAGAAAAACACAATAATTTTGCTAGTTACTCACCTCCAAGGGCTGATATTTAAATATTTATAAATAAATTTATAATCCCTTTTTAAATATTACTTTAAACATTTAAAGCACAATTGTAGGATATGGATGGAAAGGGTTGCATTAAATGAGGTTTAATTTTTATACTGTATAGAAATCCTTTCTGAGAATAGTTGGGTCAAAATGGCAGACTTCCACTCATCTCATTTGCGTGAACTTTCTTTTTCTTTCTTCTGCCTCTATCAATTATTATTTTGGAATGTTATCCGCTAATGAAAGTTTTCTGTTCTAACTTTGGGTTTTGTCTCACCTAAAGAATTATTATTTACTATTAGGTAAGCTTTACGTTACCTCTTTCGCCATTTTGTTTCACAGTGACTTTTAACCTGTACAACATAAGCAATAATAAGGCATGTGAATGTTACTAAAATACAGTGAACTTACTTTGATTATCATTAACAGCTGACTTCATGACAAAGTTTTCTACATCTGTTAGCTCGAGTGTTTCTCTTGTTTTTCCATCTTTCCAGTGTTCAAAAATGATTTTACCGATGTCACTTCCACCAGAGTTACTGAAAAGAAGTTACAAACAAAATATTTCTTTATATCAAATAAATAAAAGTATTTCTTGAAAATTAAATGACCCATATCAGTCTATAAATAAATGCTTATAACTTTGTTCTCCTTAAAACAAACGAGAGCAGAGTAGCCAACCATCCATACATTTATGAACTGTTTTGTCATGCTACGGCCAAGGCACACTAGGGTTTAGGGGCCTGACACACACAGGATATCTGGAGAGACTAACACAAATCATGCGTAACCGATTGACCTACGAGAACGAGAATTATAATGTGAGGTGATTGCCAGGGAAAAGAGATCATTGCCTCCGAGTGCTAAACCAGGAAAAAAAGAATGTTGTGTCAAGCAATTGGAAAGGTATCAATAAAGCTACAGATATCCCAAGGAGACTTGACTTGGCTCTTTTGAGTGAGATCAACATATACTGAATAAGAAAGAATATCAATGCAGGAATTTATGGCCCTACATGGAAAGCCCGTAAAATTTGTCTTGAAATGACCTGTTCGTAAAAGTAAAAGTCAGTAAGAACTTAAATATGTCCATAAAAATGATTAATTTTCCTTAAGTCTTTTGTAGCCGTACAAAAATGGAATTCACAGCGTTGGGGGGGGGGGGGGTTTTTTTTGCTTTTAACGTTGATGATCATAAGTAGGAGAACTTAAACACTGATAAAATGATTAATTTTCCTTAAGTCTTTTGTAGCCGTACAAAAATGGAATTCACAGCGTTGGGGGGGGGGGTTCTTTTTGCTTTTAACGTTGATGATCATAAGTAGGAGAACTTAAACACTGATGAGAATGACATTTTATAACCTTATAAAAATATAATTAAAAATATGCCAGTAAAAAAAAATTTTATCACTAAAACTTGGTATTTATCAGTAAACATTATTTTATGGTTGGCAACCATCCTGCCACATCCTGAGAACAAGAGTCTCCATCCTGCCACATCCTGAGAACAAGAGTCTCCATCCTGCCACATCCTGAGAACAGGAGTCTCCATCCTGCCACATCCTGAGAACAAGAGTCTCCATCCTGCCACAAATCTATGCAGCTCACCCCCCACTCACTTACTCAGCATTACTTTACTTACAAATGAGTGACAAAGCAGGCATGCCTAAAAAAATGGTCTGTGTGTTAGGAGATCACCCTAAACTTTTGCCCCTGAGCACCTTCCACAGGAAAAAATTCCAACCTCTGCCACCCAAATGTCTTATCATTCTAATTCTAAAAGAAACAGCCATCTGAGCAACAATGACATTTAAAAAATTCAGCTTGGTTTATGATACAAAAATTATTTTAAGGTAATTCAAAATACATAGTATAATCAAATTTATTTTAATTATCTCTCTAAGGTAATAAATAGGTCAAGAAACAAAATTATAGAAAATAATTTTCACTATTCTGTTCAAACTTGTTCTTCATTTTTTAGAAAGAATTAAAAAACAAACAGTAAGAAAATGAATCTTTCGTAGTCGACAACATCCTTTAATGTTAAACTCTGGTTCTTTTTTAATTCAAATAAACTTACCTGAGAAACAAGAAAATTGATCTCCTGTAGTTGATATCTCCTAAATGCTCATAGTAATCCAGGTAAGGTTTTATAACATCTAGCAGCAAGGGAGGAAGTTTATCTACTTCATCAAAAATGAACATGGAGCGCTCACAGTGTGACACGTTGCCTTCAATCCATGATTTCAGTTGATCCTAGAAACATAAAATTTAAAAAGTAGATATTTTTAGGATTGTTTCAGAGAGTAAGGGTAATAGTTGTTTTTGAGGGAGTTACTGAGGATGGTGAGGAAACAGTTTAGCATCTTTCTTTCTCTAAACAACTGACCATGCACATTGACAGGGAAACTAACTTTTTATCAATAACATGACAAACAGTTTTTTCTATTTGAGTTATGTCAGGATGACCAGTGGGTAAAAAAAAAAAAAAAAACTGGGAAGAGTAACCAGATACTCTTTGATTAGAGAAGATCAAAGCTGACCACCTTCTGCATGTTGTTTTTTATATGTAATGTTACTGTAAAGGGCCAGGCCGCATGTGAACACACTTTAAATCTTTATCTTTTGAAGATTGGGGTATGGTCATCCAAATGCAGGCGAGTGGCAGATACACAAGTATCCCAGATTGATTAGGTCATATTTGTTGATTTGGACATAAATTTGACTAGATTAGGTATCTTTTAAGGTGAGGAATGCCAGTGTAAATGAGTAGGACTAGTGAGCTGCGATGGGAAGAGAGTATGTGTGACCAAGTGTGTTCCTGATCTTATATGTTTAACAATGAAGTAAGGAATAGACTAGGTTGATTTGCATTCTCATTGATAAATGAATGCACAGAGAACAAAGTTCAGAAGTGTTGTATAAGATTCTCTATAACAGGGTTTCCCAACCTTTTCTATAGTCTTCAACCCCTTAAGCATTGTTTCAGTTTTGCGGCCCTTATAAATTGCTCGACTTGGTCTTGCACCCCCTACCAAAGTAACAGAACATTTTATAATTGTAAAAAAAAGGGCTTCTAATATTTTTTAATAGATTACAAATATAACTTTAGAACTTAGAAAATGGAAGCATGACTTATGTAGTTATGACATAACCATAACGTTTTATTTAATGCATAATTGAATTTTTTTTAAATATGTCAAATACTAAAATGTATAATTTCTCTTGATTGGACATGAACATATATATTAAGTTTTATCTAGAACAGGGGTGGGCAAACTTTTTGTGTGAAGGGCCACATTAACATATGTAAAGCTATTGAGGGGCCACATGTATATTATATCCAATTTTTACATGTCAATAAACATTTCTCTATATTAAAATGAGTAAATTTGCATTTTAGCATTACATGACAAAAGTCAATGACTGTATTTAAAAAAAAGAAAATTAGAAAGAAAGTTGATAAAAAATGTTCAAACAATCATAACGGTACATGAAATTCTGTAAAATTCATCAAAATAACCTAAAAACAAAGTATTTTTTTTATATTTCTAAATGCCTTCGAGGGCCACATAATATCAGTTGCTGGACTGCATGCGGCCCACTTGTCATAGTTATCCCACTCCTGATCTAGAATATGAGAATAAAAATGACTGGCAATATTGGGGAGGTGGGATGGCAATATTTGAAAATTAAAAATAAATCAGTACGGGTAATATTTTTTTTGCATTTTACGCTGATGTTGCCAAAAATAATGGATGCTTAATTTTTAACTCTCCCACCATTGTACCGGTACATCACAAGGTAATCATAAGATTTAGATATGAATATTTCCTTATACTGACCTTATAAAAGGGAATCATACCATCATGGGGAAATTCTTTTGTTGCAGAGATAAGATGAACAAACTTGCTACGAAGACCATCCTTGTATAAATTTTCTGCGATGATACGGCTAACAAAGTTTTTGCCCACCCCAGTAGGACCATGAAATGAAAGGACCAGGGCTTTAGGAGGGCTAGGTGACCTTAAGTGACCTTTGATATGACCAATTACAGTCTTTTGAACAAGGTGTTGACCGTGAAGTTTCATGGCCAAATCAGATTCTAGACCTTAAATGAAAAAAGAATAATGACTTTTAATTTTAAGGGTTTAGAGGAGGAAATTAAGCTTTAAAAGACTATGGTATTATTCTACGAGGAGCAACTCTATATTCATTTGCATTAATAATTTTTCCAGTTAAAATAAATATTGTTGATTATTAATTAGTGTGGGCTGAAATCAATATAATTAAAATTACGCAATACAACTAACAAAACAAGGAAGAAATCTGTAAGTTTCTTGCTAAAAAATCAAAATTTTTTATGACAATGTTTAGCTAAAAGTTAAGAAATTTTAAAAAATAACGACAAGATTTCCTAATCAGTGATAAAACAATGAAGTTACACATATGTGACTGCTGCGCTTATATTGACAAGAACTCTCATATCAATTAAAGACAAATTAAGGTGGAGCTGACACATTTAAACAAAATACCTATTAAACTTGAAGCATTGTTGTGATTACCGGTATACCTGTTATATTTTTAATTATCCAAGTATCATCACAACAAGAGGAAAATCGACATCGGAAGGTGTCAAAGGCAGTAAAAATTGCTGAACCAATAGCGGCCAGTCCAGCAGCAACACCACTACCGTGTATGAAACAGTTCCCAGGAATTGTACAAGTGAGAATTAAGATTGCATATGCTGATGTCTTCATCCTGGGGATATTGCTTTGATATGATGACAATGACTCTTTGTGTTATAGTTATAGGCTTTACATATGTCCTTATGATAAATCAGGTTGTTTAAATTTAGGCTTTTCTAGTGGCTACCCTGAAATAAAAAAAATATCAATCTTATTATAAATAATATTTTTTAAGAATTAGAATTTTTTTTAATGTTTGGAAGTAATTATAACTGCAAAAGTACCAGAAAATCCCACATTTTTGGGTAAACCCCAAGAACATGTGTAATCTTTACTTTGCTCCTATGCCTATGGCATCCATGTTGCACTTCTAGGCAAACTAAAGCCAAGAGCAATATTACACTAATTATTGAGGAGCCTGCAGTCAAAGACTTAAAGAGAGTCTAATAAAAGACTATATAGTCTGACTCTAAGTATAAAGATAAGATAAGATTCTTTTATTGATCCAAAGAAAAGGAACTGGAAATGTTTTATGATTGCATGGTACATTTTCAGCACATAAATTTTAAAAAATTGAACACAAGACTATATTAATAAATTATTTCACAGCCATTCAAAGAGTTCTCTTAGTCATATCAAGGACTTATTAGTTCTCATTAAGATTTGTGACTTCAGGGAAGCAGGCTGATAAATTCTAACAGATTGGGGAACGAAAGAATTTTTAAATTATATCTTTCAGTCCTCGCACTGACAGAAAGAATTCATCCCGAACAAGACGATCCTAAGTATCTGTGATGAAGAGGGTGGGATGTATCCTCCAAAATATGTTTAGTTTTACAATATCATCTTTCTTCAAATACTTCTTCAAGTGAATAATGTTTAGTTTGTTATGTTCCTTATTCCTATTCCTAGCCTAGCTTTCTTGATTGGTCGATTTATGCCCTGCGCTTAAGTTTAATTAATATCAGATTATTAGATTATTTTTATACCTGTTTAAAGTTTATATTGTTTCAACTTTGGTGAAGTTACAAAGCACCAGAATAAAAGTTAAAACTATTAATTGTAGGTCTGTACTTGCTATATCATTTAGTAACAAATTAAAATTAAACAAATCGTACGAAAGTAGAACTTTAACTCCGACTCCAAGCATATTTTATTGTATTTATGGCAACATTTGTGGTATACACACAGAACTCTTCTGTCTTTTAGGAAAAGACTTTCATTTCAAATTAAAAACGCTTCATTATTATTATTATGACTATTGCATGGCGTTTGATTTTACGATAAAATATTATTTGTAGCAGTTTCACTTTGTTAGCTTTTTTAATAAATCAATTTTTCAAAATTATCTTTTAGGCCCACTTTTGTCTACTATCATTCTATCAAATGTCATTGTGTCTCTAGTTTAAAGCAATTTTGAATTAACTAATTAAGAATAATCTCTTATTTTAGAACCATTGGTTGGAGTGATCATTGTGACTATGACATTATGAAGAGTATTTAATTAAAAACTCAACCACTCCGTATTTACCAAATGGAACTACAATAAAACACTTCAATAATTAAGTTATGGAAAAATTATTTATTGTTTTCCAATTAGTATTCAATTTGTTTGTGTTTTATCTTCTTTGGTTTTAGTTTTAATAGAAATTTCCACTGATATCTCCTAGTGTACCACAATAGTCAAGAATAGCGCTAGAAATAGCAAAAGGCGTAGTTTTTATATTTTATCTCGTAATTAAAATTTGTTAAATTAATTTTTTTTTTCTTTGACTTTGGGACAAAAAGATGGTATTTGACCTATAAATCCTAATGATCCTTTTAATTATTTTTTTTAAAGTATATGAGACAAAAAAAATAATGCTTTTCCATTTGCATTGATTGAGATTATTTAAATTATTATGATTGATCATAGTACGCTTAAATTTAAAAACAAAAATACTTGAAGTTGGAGAGATTAACCTGCCCGAATGAATGCCTAAATGTGTCTAGCCTAAGCTAATACCCAGCTCAAACTCAAAACGTTTGTCACCAAAACTGGGCAAAACTATTAAAAGAAGTTACTAAGTAATAATAATAATAATTAAAAGCCACAGTTAGGTTAGGGTAAATGTTGAGAAAGCTCCCCAACCCTAATTCACTGCAATTATAATAAACACACAAGTGACGTCACAGGGATGATTTCCAACATTAGCCAACCGAGGGTAGCCTAGACAATAGACATAAGTCATAAGATGATAAGAATATAAATAATAATTACTACTAGACTACTAGGAGCCAACTACTATTTGAGTTCTACACAACCAAGGCTCACAAGGCCGGACCCAAAAATCAAAATTTAAAAGTTAATGCATGGATGATGAGCAAATCACCAGAATTCAGAAGCAAAAATTTTCAATAGTTTAACGCCTTCTTGTCTTAAAGATCTTTGAATATTTTGATGATTTGGACTTCGCTTGGGAAAGGTATAATATGAACTATATGTTTTCTTGTGGATGTTTTTATGTTGAAATTCGCTTCCTCCAAATCCAATATCAAGCTCTTTTTTTTTTAAAATGACGAAGATCCATATTTGAATATTTGTAAACGAATCTCCCCTCCCCAGAAATTTGTTGTTTCTTATTTTTGTATTGAAATTGAAGGGAGGGTTTTCCCCTCCCCAGAAATTATGTTGAAATGTCCAGTTAAATTGCGACATTATAGGTACTTCGTTTTCAACCAATGAAAAGTCATCACTTCTAGCTATGCGCGCGTTTTACTTCCGGTGTATATCTTGGGTTGTTATATTATAAGTTATAAGTATGAGTTTCTCATTTTATTTCTTTTAAACCTTGTAAGTTGAATTTTAATAAAAACCGAAAGTAAATTTCATTTTAACTTATTTCATATTAAGTGCCGATCGTCAGATTATTATATTGACGCGAATGGTGCTCAGTGAAGAACGGGAAAGTTACTCTCATTGTTGGTCCAGTCACGCTAAGCCCTGACCCTAGTCCAGTGTTGACCCCAAGTGACGTCACTGCTTAAGGTGAGAACTCTTGCAAAACCCGTGCCGTTGCACACTTACCAGGACCAGGGTGAATAATAAATCATTTTATATGGATATTTTAAAACAAAACTGAAAAGAAGATTTATTGGCTTTTATTTTACTTTAGAGATGCGGTACGTTTGTGTTGAATTGTCATCCGATAAAGCTAAGCTAAACCAACATTTTCAAAAATATTTAAAATCATTTATGGGAAATTACCACTACAGCGTCGGTTATAAAAAAGCGTGTTCCTGTTGTTAGACTAGTGTTAGAATTGCTTTAAGTCTTAAGTTGGAACGGTTATTCTTTCTTTCATTTATGTCCATTAGCCATTAGTATTAGTAGTACTGTCGAAAGAGGGCATCTCGGTTATCTGTGGCTGATAAAAACTAAAAAGAGAGTGTGGGCTACGTTTTCTTGTTGAAGTGCCAGACTCAGACCCATGTGTGATCAGTTATTGGAGTGCATAGAGACAGATATCCTTGCCTTATACTTAAAATTTAGGTACCGTACTTTAGTCTTAATTTTAAAAAATTTTAAATATTTTTTTTGATATTACAGTTGTTTAGTTTAGAGAAAATTTCAAATAAAAAAAATGAAACCAGAATCAACTTTTTAGCAAAAGTACTTTTTGAGCTACGGCTCACTCAGCTACGAGTTTTTAAAGTGTGAGTTCGTTTGGTATTTTTTACTATGGACGAACCTCCACATCTTGTGACTTCATTCCGCTCATCGTGTCATGCGCAATGACTATATAGTTTAGATAATGCGAAGCATCCCCTTATCATTAAAATACTGTTTAGGGTCGACTTATTTTAAACTTTCAACTTTGACACATGAATAATTAATTAAAGCTTTCCCTGACCAATGGTTTAATAGTTTTTGCACATGGCTATGGCAAACTCTTATGAATGAAACTCTGAGGTAGTACTGCAATACAGCCATTATACAAGTTGCTGTGAATGGTTGCCAATGACAACGTGTTGCACTCAGAAAATTCTGATCATTTAACTTAATATGGACTCTACAGGCTTTTTAAAGCTCAAATTTAAACATGCCGGTTTATATGTCTTCATAATGCATTCTAAAACACAACTTGTCAAATATTTTGATGTAAATAGTGATAATAATTAAATATTTCCTAAGTATCAGCAACTTCCGCCATTAAAAAGGGGCGTGTCCCACACCATGTCAAAATTAGGCAGAAGATGCCTTATATATATCAAAATAAAGGTCGATTGAAAAAGCAAAATAGCTGGATGGAAATGTAGGCCAAGATGTCTATCAAAATATAAGGCCGAATACGGAACTCAAATATATGTTGAAAGTACTCATTTAATAATAAATAGACACACACATTGGAAAATTAAAAACTGATTTTTCGGTGCCGATGCCCATTTCCAATACACAAAAAGTAGTAGGCTCCCTTTTTTCATCGAAGTACCTACTTATAATTATAAAGATTATAAATGGCTTGCATTAAGTCCGCTAATTTTTAAACACTTAAAGTCGCAGCAGAACACAGTCTGGGAGCTGCTGTCCCAGTCAATTATATGCTGTAAATTCCATAATAAACATTTCTTTTAATTTATTTCTCAACACCTAGTATCCCCTCTAACATCTTAACCCCTGTCCAAATAAATATGATAATCTTGATCCTTTGAATGAATGCACTTTATCCAAAGGACCAAAGATAAATGCATGTAAGAAATATAAAAAGAAAGTATCAGAAAAGTTAGTTTCACTGATTAGGTTGGGGTATAATGACACGAATAGAGTCTTTCACATTTTAATTTTGTGCAAATTAGATAAATATACCTTTTTAAAAAAAGGAATAATATTCTATCAATTTAAAATTCCTTCTGACATATTGGGAGCATGTTTTTCTGTAAAGCAAAAAAAATGATTTAAAAAATATGAAAGGGCTATACTATTTACATTGATTGCTTCTTATCTTTAAATTAATCGGTAGCTAGAGCGGAGTTGAAACTAACCTAAATCTGTCTGTAGAGGAGCTCTGTCAAAATTCTGCCCCACATCATTGTCTTAGCATACGATTTTTTTTTGTTATAATCATAGTAGTAATTATCAAGAGTTATGTCTTGCAAGATAGAATTATATTACTATTGATTTGTGACCAAAAAAATAAAAAATTTTATTAAGATTCTTTACTCTAAATGTAGTTTGAGATAAATCTTGCACTGAGCTTGAGTTGCCCATTTTGAAGACTTTCTTTTGTTCATTTAACACCAACCTCCCTAAATCCTAAAGAGCTTAAATTTTCCTCACTAATTCCACTAAATAAATTAAATAGACCAAGCTATTCAAATTGGAGAACTGAGAGTCTTTTGTCTCAATGCCTATGCAAACATGGCTGGTGTAAAATCAATGATTACACCAGGTTTGTGAGTAATTTTAATATTCATAATAAGTATATAAAAAAACATATCCTAAGCCTATGAACAATTTTAACCTGATATTGTCTTCATATAAATGCAAGCTTGCGCCCTACTAGAGTAAAGTTTCTGTCTTTCTACTAATTCATGTGTTATTTTGCTTCCAGGTTGAAATTGTTTTTTTCACAGAGATCACTTCCATCACTGCCAGACTTCACAGCTGCTCTTATGATGAATGTGCAGGAGAAATCAGGACAATGTCCTGTCAACTTTAGGTAAAATAACTTTTTATGCTCTTTATTTTTCATTAGAACTGTGAAATTTTTTTTTTTACTTTTTAACTTAATATCACACTGGGGATTAATCTTGAGGTAACTATTATTGTATTGGGATCCTGGAATTTATTTCTCAGTGGCATAAGCCGACCATCTTAGTTCTGGCCAGGCAAACCCTGAAAAGTATGTAACTTGCTCAAAGCTGACCATATTAGTTTTGGCTGGGAAACTATTTTAAAGGTTTTTATTCAAGACCTTAAAAATATTGTGTATCATAAGACTTTTAAACTATTAAACATACAGCATTATTACAGTGACTCAGTTCACTTGTCTATGGGTATATACAGTAACTATATTGAACATTTTTAAAAATAGAACCTTGGCGATCTACAACAGACCTGTTTACTCTTAGGATTTTGGCATACAATGTATGATTTTGAGGTGTATACATTATATATACCTTGCAGCAACTATGAATGGTTCGTGGAACAATCG